GGTATGCACAGTATTTGGTGGCGTTATGTCTAGCAAGGAGCGGGTTAGGAAGAGGTTGAGGATCAAGGGATTTGAGATACCCTCTTTTCATCAGGACTTTTAGTGCACTCGTTAGGCTCATATGGAGGGGGTGAAAGTTCTGCCTTAAGCTTAGGTTGGACCGGTTGTTTGTGGGTTGGTATTGGCAAAAGGGTCGACTGTTTTGGGATCGATGTCGATGGTATTGATTTCAGTGGGTTTGGGAATAGTACTACCGCTAGCATCTGTACTCCAGGAAAACACCCTCATTGTTGGTTCGTTTGTTCTAGAAATAATCCCTTTGTTAAATGCGCTCTCAATTTGAACCCCTAATTCATGCAAAGTTTTTAAAGTGAACAGTGGAGCAACTATTAACTTTTGTAACATATCTGGCTCAAGGTTCTGCACCATTATCCGCACTTGGTCCCTCTCAAAAGGTCAATCTGTCATTTGTGCTGCCTTTGCTCTCCACCTTGCAACAAATTCCACTAAAAGTTATTTAGGATTCTGATGGGTTGCTTCAAGCTCTTGGGTGGCCAATTCAATTTCGCTATTGTAAAAATACTGATTGACAAATGCCTCAGCCAACTCTTTCCAATTCCGCTTCAATTTATCCTCCAACTTAGCATACCAAATGGTTTCTATACCGGACAGGGTTCTTCCATATAGAGTGAGTTTCTAAGGCTTAGTTAGACCTATCAGTTTCAGGACATCCAAGAAAAATTGGATATGCACCATAAAATCCCTAGACCCGTCGAAACGGTCAATGTGTGGCATTTTGAATCTGTCTGGAAGCCGCACGGTAGCCTCGGTGTACCCATCCTCAATGTCGAGAATAGAGTTAATTCCCTATGCCTTTTTGAATTGCTTCTCAAGGTTAGCAATTTTTACTGAGGTCGGGTCAAGACCATTAATATCAAAGGAAAAAAGGCCCTTATCTGGCTGCACCAAGGGTCTGAAAACTCGAGCTTAAGCTAACCCTTCTCGAGGATCTGGACCCTCCAAATCTTCAGCTGGCAGAGGTAGGTCAAAGTTTGGCTGGGTGCCCGGGATTGGATGTGTGGTAGATGCCCCAGATAGACATTGCATTTCAGCGTTGATCTCATCTTTCATGGCAATTCCCTGGTTTAGGGCTGTTATCATGGCCACAACTTCTTGTGGACTCTAAGCCATCACGAGGTCTACTAAGTTGGCAATCGGGGAAATGGATGGGTGTAAGCTAAGAGCTGGATTTTGACCCGGTTATACTCGATGTACCGGGACTGGATTAGTCTAGATAGGTTTGATTGGGTTGGGTTTTTTTAGAATGGATTTTTTGGTATTTGGATAGATATTTTCTAAGTTACTGTTAGGGATCAGACGGATTGAACCTTCGCTGAGTGGGTTCTTTCTGGGATTGGATAGACTGTGATGGGTTAAGGCTTTCCAGGTCAGATTGGGTTTAGCCTTTGCTAAGTTAGGTACTGCTCTTTCTTTGGCTCGACAAATCTAGCATTTAAAAAACAAACGCCTTATCAGATCGGGATACCAGATATGCTAGTCAAAACAAAGTAAGATACAATTTTTGGCCCTAGCTTTGGTTCTGGTATTTTTGCACCATATCAAACACAAACCCCTGGATTGTGACCCAAATTCTGATTCTGATGACCCTCAATTTTGAAAAGAATCGCCTCAAGATTAAACTCTCCAAAGATTGTATCATACATTGCGAAAGATTTCACATTTTGCACAAAAGCATTCAAAACACCCCTATGAGAGGTTAGGGTTTCCTTGTCCTAGCTTTGGAGTGATCTACAACTTTACTATTTCAAACAAACGGTATCACAACAGCCTAGTAAATAGGAGGGCATCCCATCCTATGTTTGAAAAAGTCACTAAGGCTGACTATATGCAGTTCGGCCGGTTGGTCAAAAGGGGTACCTCAACAAGATTACCTAATATACCTCTCACACCTAACACCAAGAAGTGAAAGGAGGATCAAGCGGTATATTGGTAATCGAAATCTAAGGGTTGTGTTTCCAACAAGGTAGAGCCCATGACCGGCCAGCCGTTTGGCAAGCTTTTGGGCAAGTCTCTGGTAAACCGTCTAGGAATAGCAAATGAAAAGCACAGTGACTTAAAGTAACAATGCAAATGCAATACAAAGAACATATAAGTGTAGATAAAATTTCTCATCATGAATCTTAAGTCAAGTTCTCTAAAAATCTCCAGCAGAGTCGCCATAAACTGTAGCTTGCTTTTCATGCTTCTTTCAGATACAACAAGCCCTACAGTTTGGATTCCCATGGTTTTGAATTTGATTTCACAAGTGCAATGTGAAATAAGAAAAAAACACAAATGAGTCCAAACCCGGCAAATCTTTTGAAAAAATGATGTTTGTATCAAATGCTAAAAATGGACTGCTTTACCAGATTTCAGAGTCGCCACCTAAATATTTTTGAAAAATTTAGGAAACTCGAGACTCATGCCAAAGGCCATTAGTCTGTCATCACCAAAGTGTCTCGGCTCGGGAACTTAGGTATGAGAGGGGAAGATTATTAATTGAACACCCCACTCACCCGTTCGAAGATCGGCCTCTACTAATCATGATGTGAATTTACATTCTATGCTCTTTTTCTGATTATTAAGTCAACCTTACTATGTGATGCACACAAGTATAGACTAATTTATAAAGGTTAGAACATTTTGATTTTATGTTTGTTGAAAATTATTTTAAATACGCGTCACTTGAAAAGGTGAGTTTGTATGTACATTTAGTTAATTTATCCCAATTTTACCAATTAGCCTTCATCCACCGGCATTCAGACAATTATATCATTTAAGAATTTAGCCTCACGGGAAACATGCTTGATATGGCAACATAAACATACGATGCAAGATGTTAAAACAAGAAATGATCACTTAGCACTCCGAAGCAAGCCAAACAAAGCAAAATAATTAGAAAACAAGCATGCTCCTAAATAATACGATATGACTAATGCGACGCAATACAATCATGCAATAAAATAGGCTCAGCTACTAGTATGGTATATGAATCAATTCAAGGCATGCGATAAATCACGTATTCAAGCAATGAATTTGAAATTGACATTGGTTAGTATGATGAGCCGAACCCTAATGCATGTGAGACAAGTGTATGCAAATCACGGAGAATGCTAAAGAAACATGATGCTCTACACTACTATTATAAGCGGGTAAATAAAAAGGAGAAGGAAATGGGGTTGGAAGACATACACCATTAATACATATTTGCCCTCGTGCAAAAAGGTCCAAATCAATGTCTGAATTACAAATTCAAATAAATGAATTACACTTAACTAACTACTTATTACATATTCGAATCAATTCTAAGTTAACTAGTTATCTAATTTTATTACAACAAGGGTATTGCAACAATAATAACTACAATAATAATATACGAATCAAATTAGAACCATAATATTTACAACGACAATAATTACAATAATGATAATCATAATAATACAACAGTGATAATTACAATCCATGCGACCATGAGGCACGTTGATCACATGCACAGTGTCCAGAAACTGTTATGTCTGCCCAGATTGCTCTACCTCACCCTCAGCCACTGCCCTCTATTTCTTCCAAAAGGTCATTGTTTATCACACATTGGGGGCCGGCCAGTCCCAAACAAGATTTGGCCGGATCCAGACATAGCTGGCCATACCCTAATTTCATGCCAAAAAGGTTTTTGTGCTTTGAAGTGAGGACAGTGCAGGCAGAGCCTGTTTGGGCCCTGTTTGTTCCTTCTGCTCCCCTCTACCATGGAACTCAAGAGAAGAGTGAATTCGAGCCCAAAACCGTCAATAGGCACAAGTTGATAGCTTGACGATTTCGAACGCGATTAGACAAGAATTTAATAAATACAATGAAAACGACCACCCCCCCTCCTATCATGAATTTAGCTCAAAGAGGGACGTAGACTCGCCTTAAGACTCATCAAAATATCATGAATTGATAAGCGACAATCTTTGAAGCGATGGACTCGGCATAACGTCCGGCCAAATCCAACCAATCTAATTCATTTTCTTTATGTCGGTTTCATTGATTTTAAGCCAATTTTATTAGTCATTTACATTCTTTAATCAATTTGTCCAAAGTGATGGTTAAGTCCACTAAATGAGAAAAAATGTCAAACGAGAACTGATTCCTAGCATGAAAGGGAGACTACGCCTTGACGATGTACCTTCGTAGAGATTAAGCCATTGAGCATAGGTCTCTTTCTTATGCCTTGAATAACGATCAATCGTTTGAAATAACTTTCAAACAAAATAAAAGAAGAAATGAAGGAGGGCGCATAAATGATCATGCGAACTTCATTATTAGGATGAGACTCTTGATATGAAAACTAAGTAAAGAAAAGCCATCAACTCAAATGACTCCGTGTCTAAGGCCTAAACAACCGAAGCCATGAGGACTTACAACACAACAAGTATGGTATTCAAATCATAAATTAAGTAAATGAATTAGGACAACCCTAAACAACCTCTAATATGTGAAAAACAATGGATAAACTACTTAAAAAAGGGGAAGAAAGTGAACACAAATAGGAGAGGACAAGCAAGACAAGCAAGCTTGCACTACAAACATGATATTCAAAGCATAAACTAATTAAATGGGTCAAACAACCCCTAAAACCAAAAAAATAGTGAAAAAATTACCCCAAAAACAAGCTAAAAATAGTTTGAAATGCTAGAACAAGTAAGTAAAGATTAAAGAAAACAAAGGTAGTAAGCAAGCCTAAGGAAGTGTGGCTAACCCCTCCACTTTTACAACTTCAAATCACATATTTTAGTCTCTAAAAATAGTCCAAAAATAGCCCAAAAACATTGGATAAAATCATGTTAAAAGAGCACAAAAGATACGGAAAAACAAAGAGATAGAAAGTTAGTAAGTAAGACTAAGGAGGGGTGGTTAACCCCTCTACTTTTGGAACTTTTAAATCACATTTTTCAGCCTTTCTAACTCTGAAAATCAGTATATAAAGACAAGAAAAATAGAGGAAAAGAGTAGAAGAAGATTAAAGAAAAAGGTGCAAAATTATACCTTTTGAAAAGAGAGGTAAGCTCTTAGTTAACAAACTTGATTCCAACACCCTCAAGTTTGTGATATATGGTGTGAAACTTCAACAAAAAGCTTCAAGAACAAGCTTTGATGGTGTATGTATTGTGTATGTATAGCTAAAGATAGTTTGAAGATAAAAGGAGTAACGAAGATGGTTTTAACTCTTCAAAGCTTTTGGGAAAATCTTCTAACATCTAATTCTGAGTACAGGGGGTCTATTTACAGAATTTGAGCCAATTTGGTCAAAAATACCTTCAAACAAAGCTAGCTATTCAATTCTCGCCAGCTATCTATTTGGCGCTATTAAGAGCCGGCCGGCCCCCAAAACACACGACCGGCTCTAAAAGGCACAAATTCACTTTTTTTCATTCAAAGCCGGTCGGCTCCAAAAATTTGTATTTCTGGCCCGACTTCAAATGGCTATATCTACCTCATCTGGACTTGGTTTTAGGTGATTCTTGAGTCTAAAGTAAATCTTTGGAAGTCTACTTTCCAATGATGGTAACCTCACATCTAAATTCTAATTGTGCAAAGAGATATGTCTAATTTATTGAAGGTTGCTCGTTTCTATCTTAACCGCTTGATGCCCAACCTTTTCCTAAACTAGTTTTTTTCCCTCCCCTCCTATTTCCTTCAACCCCAAACCTATAAATAAGATGTTTTTAAAGTTTTTTCAAAGATTTCACCTCCCTTCCATGTATCTCCACTTTTTCCTTACTCAATTTACAGAAAAGTGCAATATTTTAAACGAAACGTAAGCCTCAAAACATCGTAGAAATATTTGGAAAAAATATTTTGAAAAAGAGGGTTTTAAGGTCTAAAAAAAGTTTGGCCAAAATGGGCTGTAAGGTTTGGGATTAGAGCTTGAATCCAAATTTCTTCGCTGAGAATTCAAAAGATTGCACAGTGCAACTTTTATCATCGAGTGTTTGGGATAAAGCGCCCAAGTCTTAAAGGCGGTCAAAAATGGCGTGTCTGCAGGTAGCATATTGATAATATATATATCAAGTTGATCATTAAGTACCATGAGCTCCCCTGCAGAAAATTCTTTAGGACAAAATTTGGTAAGATGAATTAACTTTTTCTTGTCGAAACTAGAGAAAAAGTTAGATGGATTCAAACATGCCACATAATGTAACAACTTAGTGTTCGACTCAGTGAAACGAGCATTTAGTTCTTGAATTTGCATATCCAAAACAGTGTAGAATAACTCAGTGCGATAGTGATGTAAGTTTGAAATTTCTTGAGCATTGTATCTTTTTCTCCTTTGAGCTATAAACATATCATCCATTTGGGGAACATGAATTTTGCGCTTTTCACAAAAAGAAAAAATATCATCAAGTAAAGATGTCCACCCACTCTCCCTCATCTTTTGGAGCCAAACTTTAGAAATTTGAACTAAATTCATGGCATTAACAATATCTGGATCTTTTCTTTGCAATGCTTGCGATAACTCACTTGTAATAGCCAATATCATTTTCGTCAAATAAAGGTCGAATACCAACTCAAATGATTGAATTAATTCCAACAATGCATTTGCTTCTGTTTGTTGTTTTGAATTTGAACCATCCTCCGAAATCATTTCAAGCACATCAATCACTGTTGAAAACATTCCAGCCAAGCTAACTAAAGTACCATAGTATGAAACCCAACGAGTATCACCAGCACGTTTAAGAATAGTTTCTTGATTTAAGCATTGCCTACTAGATAGCTCTCTAGTATTAATTGCCTCAGTAACTTTTGCAGCTTGCTCCTCCCTAATAATATCTAAGGCGTTTACATGGTACTCCAACAATATTCACCACATTAGAAACCAAAGTGAAAACTAAAGCAATTTGATCATGATTCTTTGCCATGGCTACAAGTGCCAATTGTAATTGATGAGCAAAACAATGAACATAATATGCACGAAGATTCTCTTTCAGTAGAAGTGTTTTAAGACCATTGAACTCACCTTGCATATTACTAGCCCCATCATATCCTTGACCCCGTAATCTTGAAATACTCAATCCAAGTTTGGTGAATAAATTTTTCACAGCTTGTTTGAGTGAGAGAGCATTCGTATTAGCAACATGCTTAATACCCAAAAAGCGCTCAATCATTTGGCCTTTTTTGTCAACATATCGTATTACAACTGCCATTTGCTCCTTCATTGATATGTCACGAGCTTCATCAATCAAAATAGCAAAAAGTGCATCACCACGATCTCTAATAATTACATTGATAGTTTCAAATGCAACCACATTTACAACGTCTTTTTGAATATCAGAAGATGTCAACATGAGATTTTGTGGAGCATTGCTCAATCCGACCACTTTGACATCATCATTATGATTAGCAAGAAAATTGAGAAGTTCAAGAAAATTTCCTTAGTTACTTGAATTTTTAGATTCATCAAGCCCACGAAACGCAAGTCCTTGTCTTAGAAGAAATTTGACACAATCAACCGATGCATTCAAACAGGTTCGATACTCAATTTGAGCTTGATCAAATTGTTTGAAAAAAAAATCATTTGAATATGTTTCTTTTGGTTTAACAAGTCTTGACATTTACTCGAATCTTGATTATGAGCACTATTAGGACCTCCAACATGAGTCATAATTTTTTATTTTTTCTTTCAATTTGAGAAACCCTCAACAACAAAAGAATCACCACTAGCTTGATCTCTAATAGCAAGTTTGAAAAGATAACAACATAAACAAAATGCTGCATCTTTTGTTATGCTATACTCCAACCAATTAGGAAATTCACTAAACCAAACCTGATTAAATTGCCGAAGTTTTTGTCCAAATATTTTTATGGAAAATTATGATCACGAGGTTGACAAGGACCTTTTTGTAGATATGCCCTACGAATTTGATCTCGATCATTAGCATTATAGTCCATAATCCGAGGCCGTAGTCCTGGATCTACAGGTAGGTCTGCTAAGTTGATTTCTATGCGACTTTGTTTTGCAGAAGAATAATTATCATCTTTTTCTTGAGGAAGAGATGATTCCAACTTTGATTTTCTTTTGAAATGTTTCTCCATGACTATTTTAAAAAATCAAAATAAAAATAAAAATTCATAATCAAAATCACAAACCCTCACAAATCAAAATCTCCAATTTTAAAACAAATCAAAAAGTTTAAATTTAGCACAAATCACAACAAATCAAAATTTCTTATTTTAGCAAAAATTATAACAAATCAAAGTCCCTAATTTAAATATTAATGACTACAAATTAATATTTTTAATTTTACAACATATCAAATCCCTAATTTAGCACAAACAACAACAAACCAAAATCCCTAATTTTAATATAAATCACCACTAATTAAGATTAATAATTTTAGCATATCAAAATCTCTTATTTTAACATAAATAATAACAAATAAAATTGCAAAAAATAATAAATAACTATAAATGGATACTCATAATTTTTATTTAAAAATAAAAATTAATAAATAAAGTTGCATGTAAACAATGAAGAGAAGATACCAATATTGTAGTGTGGTCCCAAATCTGTGTTTTGTGATCCTAATCTAGTGAATCGCAAGTCAGTAAATTGCAAAGCAACAAAGGGAGACAAAGAAGACAAAGAATATATGAAGACACTTAACAAGTACTATGAATATATATATATATATATATATATATAAAGAATTTCACACACTTTTAGGGTTTTAGGGTTTTAGGGTTTTAATCTTGCTGTAATTGGAGTTGTGTGTGCTCATCGAAAAAAAAGTTGTGTGTTAGTGTTTAGTTAGGATTGGGATTCGAAAAAAAAAAAACGTGGGTGCGTGTGTCAGTATGTTTGGGTAAAATTGGGAGTGTTGTGTATAGGAGGGGCAGGACTGTGTGTAAACTAAGACCCAAAAAAAAAATAAAATAAAATAAAATAAAATTTGAAAAGTAAAGGAGGGCAGGTGACCCCCCCTCGCCCCTATTTCCCTCCGCCCTCGTTTGTAGGGGTTGAGAATGAATAGTATAATAATATCACTTAGTGAGACAAAACTATGTGAATGGGTCAATAATCTAGGAATGTTGGAGAGTGAGTAGCCAAGTGAGGGTGCAGCAAGTGGTCTAGAAGAAGAAAATGGTAGTGCAACAAAATGGGTAGCGTATCCCCTTATTTCCTAAAACATTCTTCTTTTAAACCTCGGGAATTAGACCCTATTTATAGGCTTTTCCTTGGTACCGGAATATATCAAGTGGCCAAACAGTATAGCGACATGTGTCACGGGATATTCCATCCTGAACCACCAAGCCTTGGCAGACATGTGTCCCTTGACATGTACCATCTATTTGGCACAAAACCTTAGTAAGTACCACTGTACTATATGTTTGCCACAAGTCTCAACGTATACCTTTTTGGTACGAACCTCGATAGGTGTCCTAGTGGCCGTGGCACTTGCCTTCTCAGTTCAGTTTGCCAAGACATGTACTCTTAAGACTTATGATATGTTATCAACCATACTAGTTTCCACCAGCGACTCCTTCACTCTTAACCACATATCCACAAACTCCCTAGTTTTCCAAGGCGCAGGCCATAGCAAAAGTTGTGCCTCGTACCAAGCCTAAGGGGGATTTCTTGGTCCTACATATACAACCAAGGTAGGTCCTTGACCTAGGTATATGGAAAGGGAGTCCCCTCATTTCGAACTACACTGTTACCATCTTCACAGGTCATCGTTGTATACTGGCATCCTTGGTGCCTACTATCAGCTCCACCTAGTAAACATTGGAGCCTACTATCAACGCCAAGCTATACGTGCTTCAGGGCTTGCTATTAGCGCCGAGCTAGTAATACTTTGGGGCCTATTATTAGTGTCGAGCATTAGTCTCTATTTGTAGAGGGATGCCTCTCCCAAAGATTGCTATTACCTTGGGGGGCCTTGCCCCAGAAGATAGTTGCAGAGGTCGAAGGTGCCACGACTCCTCTTCCCTTAGCAAGTGGCAAAGGCAACGCCGTAGTAAAATTGTGGAGCTGAGGTAGAGTCTACCTCCATAATTGAACCTTGGCAAGTAGCACCTCAGCAAGTTCCCTTTGGACACTTTATGGTCTTGGCTAATTTAGTCAAAAAACAAGTCGAATCTGGTTCTGTCTTCTGGTTAACACATTTTTTTTTGGGTTTTGACCCATATTCATTTAATGATACTTATTCACTTGACTTTGGCGACTTCAATGTTTAAGGGGACGTTTGGAAATGACTTTTATAGTTGGTGAGAAATCTAGAAATTCCCTAGATATTGATTTGTGATTATGTAACAATTTTAAGCAGTATATAACAATCCCAATCAAACAATCAAGACAAATCAACACAACGATTTTAACGTGGAAAAACCACAATTAGACACCTCCAACTGTGATTGAAAAACCACAGGCAACAGCCACAAAACAATCCACTAAGAAAATTTAAAGGAATTACACAGGTATACTCTCAATTACCTAGTGAATCCATGCCTAATTGAACCAACCTCTATGTGCCTCTTCCAACCCCATCTTCACCTCGGAATTGTCTTTATGATGAGCCACTCCAGAATCCACTGAAGCTTCAGGCTCAAATTCTTCAGAATCCACCGAAGAACAACTCTCCCTCTCTTGTGTATAACAAACAAAACCTTTGATGTACTCTCTTTAAACCATGAGTTGAATACTCAATAAAACATCAAAGAAAACTAACAAAATATCCCCAGATATAAACCTTAAGAACCAAAAAGAAGATCAGGAGGAATTAAATAGTTTTGGGAGAAAACCAACTATTTATAGAAAATCCAAAAGTAATCCTAGTTTTGGAAGAAATCCAATTACTTATAGAAATCCAAAAGTAATCCTAGTTTTGGAAGAAAATCAACTTCTAAAAGAAATCCTTGTCAAACGGGATTGCTAATAATAAAACCTAACAATCTCCCCCTTTGGCAATGCCGTGACAAAACACACCTGACAAATAAAATCCTAATCACCCCAACCCATTACAACCAACAAACACAAACTTCTTTCTCAAGATTAAGATCTGCAAAACAGTTATTAGTACCACAATCTCCAAAACAACTATTAGTCCCACAAGAGTATATGAAAAAGCAATAGACATATGACACGATTATCTTGAAACATGAGATGGAAAACATGAATAGATGCAACTTGGAGATTTTAAGAACATGTAGCATGGAAAACTGAAAACTAAGACACATACACCAGACTCATGACATGAATACATGAAATCCTAAGACACATGAAAAACAAAACTGAAAACTAAGACACATGCACCAGACTCATGACATGAACACATCCAAACAAATCAAAGTGTTCATGCTAACAAACTCTTGTAATGATAAACCAAACTCCCCCTTACTAAAAGCAACCACAAACACTGAAAACAGTGAACAAAAAGCAAACGGCAAAAATAATATGGTAAAGCAAGTAAGGAATTTTAGATTAGTACCTTAAAACACGCAAGACTATCCAAGAAGCACAATTACTTGAAAACACAATATGCACAGTCTGTAAAAGATTTCTCATGAAAAAAGTGATGCATTATATACAAAGTATAGATCCCATGATAAAAGTGTGTGTGTGACTCTTGGAGTTCGATAAACACTAGATTCAAATCCTAGTAGTGATATGAAAGTTGAACCTCTGGCAAGAGAATCTAAGCATAACTACGGAAAGTCAAACCACTAGGAATCAAGGGGTATTTGGTGAGTAAAGGTGGAGGCTCCCCCTCAATCAATGAATCTTTTCTTCTTTTTTTTTTTCACACACTTTTTCTTTTTTTTCTTTTGCACATTTTTTTTTCTTTTCTTTCTCGTGCACAGTTTTTTTTTTTTTTTCTTTCTTTTCTTTTGCATACTCATTGGCGGCTGACACGCTGAAGAGTATGGAAACCGAACCAGATAAGCATGGATATAATAAGGATGGCCTGGTTGGTGACTCTAAGGTAGCCTTTTCCTCGTGGCTGGACTACAAAGAATAGAGGGGAAAACCGTGGACATGCAAAAAAGATGGAAGGTGGTTAAGAGACTCAACATCACCCATGATATGTTAGTATAGGTCAATTCCTCAAGAAAATGCAAAAGATCAATGACAGAAGTCCATAGAGAAAAAATAATCACTAAGGCGGAAGACTCCAAAATTTGCTAATCCAAGAGTGTGTACAGAATGAGACATACTAATCAAAGAACACACACTCCAAAATGAGTAATGACCACAGAAAGCACACACATATTAACATGTAATGGATATTCTCATCAATTCCAATATGCACCAAGGACCACTCAAAAATTTCAAGCTTGCAAAATCATACTAAGAAAATCTTTTTGATTTTTTTTTTTAAACCAAAGCAAGACAAAAAAAAAAGAACATGCACACATTTTTTTTAATAAAAAAAAAACACACGAAAACCCAAAAGCTAAAACAAATAAAAAAATTAACACAAGTCAAGTTTTCTGACCCAAACCGCTTTAGTATGAACAAAATTGTGAGAATTGCGGTTCTTGGGTGGTATCTTGACGTTGTGGTTCCCTTTTCTTTCAACGGGAACTCGTCTTGACTTGGTTTCCAACATCCTATTTTTAGGTCTAGGCAAATACACTCTCCTATGCAACTTATAACAATAAGGGCGAATATGATCATGCATACCACAATGATGACAAATAAAAATAGGGTGTACAAGGTGTACCTTCTTTTCTTTTACCTTACCAACTCTAGGAAGTTTGAGAAGTCCATCCTTATGTTGAATTTTTTGTTCTCCCTTTCCTTGAATTCTTGTATCATGAGATGTAGATGCACTCTGTTTTTGCTCTTTCTTACCACCAAAGCCAATGCCACTCTTGTCAGAACAAATTTGTTGAGACCCAATGATATTGTCCAAAGTCTTTGATCCTCTATTCCAAAGACCAATGGTAGCCATAGCACACTTGAGTTCTTTCTCTTTCTTGATCATTAGTTCTTCCAAAGCAACTTGAGACATCTCGAGAGTTTCAATTTTTTCTTCATATGTTGCATAGATTTTCTGTAGCTCATTCCTCTCTGTCTCACAAGTAAAGAG